CTAGCGAAACTCATAGGACTTGCTGGGGATACGAATATCCAGGTGTCTTTCATCCCGATAAGTGCTTTTTTCCTTTTAAAAATCATTAATCTAATTGATATGCTCACCTTATGAATGTTTCTTGTTAAGTATTTTCTTCATCAAGATGAAGGGCTTTTGCTTCTATTTTGAAACACAGGGAGAAGAACAAAAGAAACTAGATGTTCTTTCTAATGACGTTTTTCTGAATGCTTTGATAAGTAGTGGGAGAACAGTATGAATACTCATTTTTGTAAAGTCCTTTTTTATTAATTTGTTATTGTGAGACAATAATTTTGGTTTCATGAAACTTGGAAGGCCATTCTTGTCTCGGAAGAGGGTCAGGAAGCAATATTTGTGAGTCCGCCATTCCGTGGAAAGTACGACTTATTTCCTCATATTTTGAATATTTTCTTGATGATTTCTTCTTGAAGTTACTATTTATGATTTCCTTTCATCTCCTTTATAACTAATATGTGGCTTCATACTCTTCCAATAGTGCAGATACTGCGTTGTATTCGATCCGTTGGATGGTTCCTCTAACATTGACTGTGGTGTCTCAATTGGAACAGTATGCATCTCTTATAATTTTACCAATCACGTTCGACTCGGAGATCAATATTTGGATGGCTATCTGATTTACATTTTATATTTGAATTTTGCATAACTTTTAATTCTCTACACTTTACTGGTTCTACTTCTTTTGGTTGTAGATATTTGGAATCTACATGTTGAAAGGATCAGATCCAAAAATTGAGGATGTTCTGCAGCCGGGGAAAAATATGCTAGCTGCTGGTTATTGCATGTATGGAAGCTCCTGCATGGTAAATATCGATGATATTGTTTTCTACGCGCCCTTCGTCTTTTTACCTTGACAACGAAATCTACTGGATTTTCCAGAGAACATTTTAAAGGAGGGGCATTTACATAGATAGGACACAATTCTTATGTATTTACATATTTGTATTTTCACATACAGCACTCAAATTTTTAATATCACATAAAAATAACATTATTACCTATTTTTAAAAGTGAAATATTCCTTTTATGCATAAGTTTAAAGCACCAAAGTGCTATGTATGTAGATATGAAAGCTTAGGTGTGAAATATGTAAATACATATGAATTGAGTGCTAGGTATGTAAATTTCCCTTTAAAGAAAAAGTGTCTATTCACTCTGTCAGCACCGGCATATTTTCTCTAATTATTTATTTTCATTTATTTTCAGCAACTGGCCCTGACTTGATCTCATTGAC